ATAAACAAGTTGAATTCAAGTCTTTATTATGAATTCGCTTAGTTATTGATCTAACTTATATAAATGATATCTTGACTTCCTTAAATCTCCGAATTGGCCGTTTTGTTAAAAAAAACTCAAATTAAAAGATTTCAAAATTGAAAATTCGGGTTTTATAAATATTTTAAAAGTTTTCATTACTTTTTCTTACATGTTTATATTATAAAATATTAATTAAATATAATTAAAAATAAATATATTGTTTTCACTGTATCTTATCTTTTTACAATGAAGGTGTCATTTTCTTTATTTGGATGTGACTGATAATAGGAAGAAAAAAGAAAAGTCGAGAGTAACCAAGAAACATATAAACGTGGATAAATTTTCTGGTGATTTGAACTCCAAAGATTTGGTTGAGAAGTGTTTTTGTTTCATATATTTGTTGTCAAATTTGTGAAAAAGTATTAAAGTTGGCAAAAGCACCCTCGTTACTTTGCATAATACCAAATCTGTTCCAGAAAAAAGGCACTAATTCATAAGTAAAAAATAAATATTGTTTTCACCGTATCTTATCTTTTTACAATCATCCGTCCAAAAATAATAAATAATAAATAAAATCATCCGTCCAAAAATAATAAATAATAAATAAAATCATCCAAAGTTCAAACACTTTTTCCCTGTTTGTTTGTTTGTGTTTTTTTTTTTTTTTTTTTTGCCACAAATGAACACACTTTTTGCCTGCGATTATACCATTGAATTAGATGCCATTGGGTACAAATTTAGTTACCAAAAAAGCATCTCTTTTTCGGAATTTAAATTATGGTAAAACAAAAATATTAGTAATTGCTTATCCCCTGATACAAAATAAAAAACACAAAACAAAAATATTACTGTACCAAACAGTCCTTAGCCTTTCCATTTTGGGAGCGAAATAGGATATTATTTCCCAACACAATTAGGGTGGAGCTAGAAATTAAGTTCTGGGGCACAGTGTAAAAATAAAAATAAAAATAAATTTAAATTATCACTCCAATAAATATAGATTATATAAATCAAGAGACAATGAAGAAAAATTACTCAAAATAATATGTCTATCAATAAGTAATTTAAGAAAGATAAATAGTTAACAAAAAATTTAAAAATGAAAGAAAAATGAGATAATTTTGAAAGAGAAAAAGATTGTAGTTTGATTCAAATAGAAAATTTTGACTTTTTTAAAGGAAATTAAACTAATTTAAAGAGTAAAAAATAAAAGAAATAAAAAAATTAAGAGATAATTTTATAAAATAAAAATTTTAGGGGGGCATATGAATTTTTTTTTCATATATAGATGTAAAAATTTATAAATTTAATATATGTATTATAGTAAGCGGATCACGTGTCCCGGGCATACACTGGCTCCGCCCCTAAACACAACAATTCTTGGTGTGATGATTCTGTATGTTATTTCCCTTTTCTTTTCCTTTGTCTAGGTTTTTTTTTTCCAAAAAAAAAAAATTAATTAATTGTTAATCTCACTTTAATCGTGAGGAAATTTTTTTAAGTAAATTGTTTTTCATTTTAAAACTCAATGCGATGTTTCACATTGCTTAGGGGAGAGGTTTGTTAACACTGATACGTGTAAACATTTCCAAATTATGTAGATGCGTTTTTTAAAACCGCAATATAGACGGTGTACATAGTTGATTTCAATTCTGTATGGGGAACCTCCCGTCCCACACCCCACTTTTGATGATGATATGGTCCAAAATGGCTCCATATTATCACCAAAATCAATTTAAGCTTCTTGGTAAGCCATGTTAAAGCACCAGAATACTAATAAAAGCACCAAATCCAAACAGGCAAGCTCTTGAAGGAGCTCAAGTGCTGTACTAGTATACAACACCAGCAAGGAATGTTTTGGGGGATGAGGTGAGGAGAGGAATATTAAACTTCTTTCAGACAGGTGAGCTCTTGAAGTGCTAATGTCTCTGCTATGTCATACTTTAAATTAATCCCCCGTGCCAATGTTTTCTACACTGAGTAACTCATTTTTTAATGTCCTCTACAAATGTGTTTGTATATATATTTTTAAGGAAGAATACAGAAAATTGAGTGTAGTGTTCAAGGATTGTATTTTGGTTTTTATTTTTTATCTTGATAAATTAAGGGATGGGAATTCAAACACGGACACACTCAATGGAAGATAATAAAATAATCAGACTAAAGCCCAATACTTAGAGATCTAGCCTAAAATAAGCCCAATACTGGTCATTTGTATATTCAAAAAATTAATGTGGACACTCTAATAACTAGGTGTAATAAGGGAGAGTTGGTCCCACATCGGCCGGAAAAAAAAATGAATAGGTGGGTACGCAGCCAAGGACAGAGCCAGAATTTCAACTTAGGGAGGCAAAGTGTTAAAAAAAATTAACATGACAAAAATAGGTTATTCAAATCAAGTAAGAATTTTAAGAAGTAGAAAAGAAAAAATAATAATAATAAAAGGAAAAAAAAATGAAATATTTGAAAGAAAAAAAAATTGGAGTTTGATTAGAGAAGGGAAATTTTTTTTTAAGGAAATCAAAAGAATTTGAAGAGTAAAATAGAAAAGAAGGAAATAAAAACGTAAGAGATAATTTAAAAAATAAAAATTTTAGTGGAACGTTATATAAAATTTTATGTATATCTGTAAAAATAAAATAAAAAATTTTATATATTGTAGTGGGTGGGGCCAGGCCAAGGGGCAAGTGCCCCTTCGGCACACACTGGCTCCGTCCTTCCATTTTTTCTAAAATTTTAGTTTGGAGTTACTTATCTATGGTAATTGAAGGTGCTTCCATGGTACTAATTTATAGATATTAATAGTAATTTTCAAAAATTATATTTATATATAGTTTTCAATAATGATTTTGTATTTAAAAAAAAAAAAAAACATTAATGTTGAACTTCACACAGGATATCCCTAAAACCACAAAATCTTCCAAATTTTTCTAAAATTTTAATTTGTAATTACTTATATACGGTAATTGAAGGTGGTCGAAGGTGAATGGTTAAGGAAATATTTGTGATCCTTTCAAACTCTTTAATATTGCTTTTAAAATTTTAATCTTAATAAAAATAAGAATTGACAAATTCATTTATTTTAAATAAATTTTCTCTCTTGAATTTTCTTATATTATTTATAGATATGCTCTACAAATGTGCATTACCCTAAGTTAAATTTTATATTGCTACTCGGGCCCCCTTACGAAAGTTTCTGGCTCCGCCCCTGGGCCTGGGTAATGCCCGTTTTCATTTCAGCCAGAGCATTTGGAGCGGGATCCTCTTACAAAATATCCGGTGAAGGGATGATGGAATGTATAACTACAAACTTTTCAATTAGAGTACACTGCTACTTCAATGCAACCCAGTTACAGCAAAAGTAGTGGGTCAAAGCTGTTCGCTGCCACAACAAAGTGGGATCCACGAGGCGTCCACAATTTTTGGATGGCAACAAATAACATTTTCCTTTCAAGTTACGGAATGCTGAAGGAACAGGTCAAAGACGGCAAAAAGACTCCCTCTCTGTCATTGTCACGGAACCGCCTATTTCACAAACTTAGATATCTTACAGGGAAATCCTAACTTTCAATTCCAACTAAAATGCAAAAACAGTCGAGGATTACCCGCGTTTAATTTTGTGGAAGATCCTCCTCGGGTTGACTATAAACAAGGGAAGGAGGACTAGTTGAGGACGATGAGGGTAACACTGGAAGGCTATTGGGGTTTAGAAGGCACCATCTATAAATTCTGCAACAGCTTCACTCGAGGGTAATTAAGGAAGTTTAGCAGAATTGCAGGTCCTACGCTTCTTTGACCTAAGCAGCCAAGCCTGTATATTCCAAGTACATAGCTTTTCTGGCCATTTGCCTGCCAAACTGGTGCATGACAAGTCTTCCAACAACTACAGATTTGAAAATTCCTTTGGCTCTAAGGCAGCACCATAATCCATAATCATACAATCAAACCCTACTGGGAGGAAACTGATGAGCTTCTCAACAGTTAAGGGCATCTTTGGCAACCGCTATTGTTTTGACCCAAACAAAAACAACTTTTATGCTTTGGAACATGTTCGATACTATTCAAAAACATGTTTGATAACATTATATTTGGTATAAAAAAAAAAATGTTATAAGTTTGAAAAATAAAATGGCTAGTTAAAAAGGTGTTTGTCCTGCAATGCTTTTGCTAAAGTGCGGAAGCAATCAGAAACACCAATTTGGTGCTTCCGGTTTTGGCCTCTTTTTCGGAAACATTTCAGTACTATTAACAACACAAAACACGCTTCCAAGTTTTGTTTCGCTACAATACACTGTCCAAAACAAAAAAAAAACACAAAGTAGAAGCGGTTGCCAAACAAGACCTAAGAGATCTGTGCTTTTAGCTGCATCACCAAATGATGCAGACAAAGAAACCCATGGTCCTATACCAAGGAAAGGATTGTTCCATCAATGGCCTTAGCCTTTTAAAAAAAGGGTTAAAAGCATCTGGAAGTCACACCTTTACATATCTTGAAAAAACTTGCGGCTTAAAAGAAATGGCCTAGCCACAGCTGCCAAGTGTGACCAAAGTGGTCCAAGGCGAAGACCACGTGCATATGCTTTGGGTCTTAGTTTGCTTCAACTGTGAGCACTAAAGAGAGTGACCTCTATGTCAGACACTAGCACATTTTCAGCATGTGATTATTCTATAATACCTCCAGATCTTGAAGAATAGCCATTGCAAACCAGCCATTGTGTAGAAAATCCACACACTGCCAAGCAAAGGGCCACCCTTCTTTGTCCTACTGTTCTTTCTGTATTCAACACACCAGAAATTGCACATCAAAGCAAACCAAAACAGACGGCAAAATAACAAAACATTTTTGGCTGAAACAGCCTATACTGGAATTGTAAAAACTGAGATCTGTATATAAGGCTAAATTTAACTTATTTTGTGTCAACCATTCATTTCTAATGGTGAATGATTAACAATTTACAGTATTTACAATCAAAGAAATATATGATATAATCATAAAATTGATTGATGCCTTTTCCAATACAATGCCTTTGTGGATAATGAGTGTCATTGTTAAAATCAGAACCATCATTGATGGCATTTTACTATTAAGTAGTAAAAATTCCTACAAGGATCTAGGTTGACAGGCTTCCTCTCAGGCTGCAGGTTAGATAAAACAAAACACTTGCAGCTAAATAACTTGCCTGTCCACGAACTGAATTACTACCTCCTACAATGAATCACTCAGCGAAGTGGCCTAATTGAATCACAATCACACTTATATCGTCTGCGGAACCTCTCGTTGCTGATAGGTCAGCAAGCTTTTTACATGCAGACAATGGCTCCGGATTATCAAGACCTACGCATAAAGAGCGAACTACGTCTACTGCCTCTTGATTACTAACCTTGTCCCAAAGTCCATCAGAAGCAAGGATTAAGAACTCGCATTCAGGTGTATTCCTCAAAATTTTTGTCTCTGGTTCAGCTATAACCCATTGTTTAAGGTGTCGATCCCCGAGTCCTCTTGATACAGCAAGAGAACATTGTATTCTCCAAACACCATTGCGACAATCCACATAACCACCCTAGAAGAAAAAAACAAAGATTTCAAAAACCCATCAGCTGCAATGCGGATGATTTTGCAAATTTTACAACAGCCAAGATGTTTTACTCTTTTATAATAATTGTTTTTAAATTTTTGCTTTTAAGTAATATAATCTACTTACCAGTCTTTCGATCCTGTCCCTTTCATCACTACACGAAGGTCGGTGATCAATTGTGAGGGCCTCAGCAATTCCTCCATGGCTCATAACAGCTCGACAATCGCCAGCATTTGAGACCACTAATTCGCCATTCCGTAACAATGCTGTCACACAGCAAGTTCCACTTCCAACATCCTCCTTCAAAAACTCCTCATCCGTGGTCAAGTAACCGTGTCTGATTGCCTCTTTGATTTCTCCGTTGCTTCTCCTTTTCACTTCATTCATAATGTTCCTATCCAAGTTTTTCGCCGCAAATTCAGCAGCTTGTGCTCCTCCATGCCCATCAAAAACACCAAAGAATGCCTGTAATTATAGAACATAATGATTATTATTTATCATATTATAATACCAAAAGTGAAAAAAAAAAATCGATTTTGCAAAATTGTATAACATAATTGATACTGACTCTGAAAATTTTACCATAATAACATTAGCCCTCCATTTCCAAAACAATAACTAATAGACCATAAAAATAACATAATTATCCTCCTAATTTAACTTTTCATATTAAAATTTTATAATCATTGTCCCACTGCTTCTTCAAATTTCTTATATATTCATTTATATTTTCCATTATATAATCTAGCTCTCAAAGTTTTTTCATATTAACTTCTCTGTCAACTTAATTGGCTTCCCAAAGTGGATGTCAGGTTCGAGCCTCAGTGCAGGTGTGGATGTGTGAGTTGCTTTGCCTCGAAAAAAAAAAAAAAAAAAAAAAACTGACAAAAAAATTTCCTATGCAGTAACAAATTCTACAAATTCACTTTCACAAATCCCCAACTTTAGCAATTCAAGTTCTTTACTTTCATTTGTAAAGTATTATTACAAAAATTAAACAGTATTGATTTGTCTAAAACTTTCATCAGAAAATAAAACAGAATTTGAAATTAAAGATCAATGATTTGATACACAAATTTCTAATGTAAATAGTACCTGTTTAGAATCGCCTTGAATATCGACTAGGGCTGAATAGCGATCCTCCATAGGACCCCTTTTCCCTCTTTTGCAATACACAGAGTACCCATCCCCTTCGACCTCCACCTCACTCAGCCTATCCACGGCCGCCGTCGTCCCTACGGCGGCGTCGAAACTCAACGGAGCAATCGGAATGTTGATCCTCGCCGGTCTCTTCCTCTTCAAAAGGGCCGCCGACGTTGAAACTGACGACGAAGAAGAACAAAAAATTGGGGCTTCCTTAGAAGAATCTCTATGGAACCCACTGAGCTGCTTGTGATTGTGAAGCCGAAGCGTTAAAGGAGACAACGGAACTGGAGAAGACGAGGACGGCGTTGATGGTGATGATCCATGGAGGCTTAGGTTCACAGGAGAAGAAATAGCGGGTTTGCAGAAGATTGATGAGACTCTGTGTGACGGTGAAAATACAGGAGAGTTCGCTACTGCTACGGCGAGAGACATGTTGTTTATTGTATCGATCTTCTGTTCCGATCAGTTGAGAGAGAGAGAGAGAGAGAGTCAGTTTAGAGAAAGAGTCAGTTGGGAGAGAGAGAGTCAAGCTTTGCTTGTGTTATGGGATTGGGTTTATCGTTTATTCTACATATATATAGCTCAATTAGGCTCGTTTGTTAACTGAATGTTTGTTTTATTGTGATCTACACGCGCCTCTTGGAGAATTACAGGGTATACTTTTAAGGGACTGTTTGGGCAAAAAATTAATGTGTTTGGATAAATTAATAAATATATAAAATTAAATAAATGACAATATTAATTGGGAAAAAAGAGAGTAAGATTGTTTTAAACTTGTCATGGAAGAATAGAAAAATAAAATAAAAATCTAATACTTTACTCCTTTCTTTCATCTCCTTACTTGTGGGATGAAATTTTTTTTTTTTTTTTTCTTTCTAGTTTTGGTCCAAAGCACCATTGATGAAGAAAATTTTCTTTTTAAAATTTATATAACGTTTGGTTGTTCAAATTTATTTTCAAAGTTTCTTACATTTTTTTTAACAATTACCTAAATACAACAAAGTATTGCTTGCTTCTGTGCAATAACTAATAAAGACTTTATATTAAAATTTTAAAATAATGTGTAAAATAATAAAATTTTCATACTTTTTTTTCTTATTTATTTTGTATCAATTTTTTTTTTTTTTATTCTTTTTCAACATTGCATCTGGTTGGAAATAAGTCTATATTAAGAGTGAATCTTACCAGAACTATAATCTAGAATTTAAAAACAAAACCTTCTAGAATTTAAAAACGAAAACAGTCTATATTATATCTCCCCGTATAATATATCTTAAATTTACTTCTTTATCCTTTGTACGGAAAATAGGGTAGCGGGTTTAGAACACGCGCTGAAGCGCGATTGGAGAGAAAAGAGGGGACTTAAAAAATGGTTTCAAAGACTGAATCGTGTCAACGGTCAAACACGTTAGTTTGACATGGGCATTATTGCTTAGCTGTGAGAACCGGTCTCCGTTTTGGGGTTTGACGGATCCCATTGTGATTCGTCCACGTCGGTGGTCATAGTTGAAATTTTCATCCCACTCAGCTATAGATGCAGTCTATATAACACTTATATTATAAAATATATATATATATATATTATAGATGACGGTGACATGTGCTTTTTTTTCCCCTCAAATTACGTCAGTGACAAGTTCTGTCCACTTGCATAGACATAAAAAAAAATTTATTGTCACCGTGTGTTACGAAATGATTCATAAGATGTTTGGAGTAGCAGAGTTTGACTGAGAATGGTTTAAAAAAAGAGACGTGCAGGATTACATGATGGTACCTTTTCAGAGTTCAGGCAGGTCGACTCGATTAAGTGCGAGATACTTGTCGCTGGTCGTTGAATTGACTATGAAGAAGGGAGTTGGCCATCCCTGCACAAACTGGTTCGGAGCTGGAGCCGTTCCCCTGATGAGACCAAGGCAGGTTGAAACCAGTTAGCATGTATCCTTGGGAGGGCAGGTCGTGGTGGCTGACCAGGGCGCTTGCGTGAGCCGAAGCAACGCCTTAGTGCCGCGCGGGCCGTGCCGCTGCGCCAAATCTCTAGGGCCGTGACAAATAGTATCAGAGCAGGACTTGGGGTAAAAGCACGGTGGGGTGCCCCCTTGTCGATCCGGGAGGGGTCAGAGAATGAAGACGGTGCACTGAAGCGTCGATGAGAAGAATCAATGCAGTTGGGGGTGAGAGCCTTCATCTCCCTAGGAAGAGGCGTCCGTTGAAGTTGCGCACCGGAGGGCCGCGCACACCAAAGTTCGTGCTTAGTCCTTGGGTAATGCAAACCATGGTGGAGCATCAAGTCGGCAAGAGGCCCTTGCTTGCTCAGGATGTCGCGGAGGTGGCATGACGAAGAAGAGTCACGTCCTTGAGGAGTGGACGTCCCCTTGGTCCGAGGCCTATCATTGGGCGAGTGCAGTGCAGGGAGCTGCACAAGGAAGTGATGGTGGGAAGGCGCATGGAGGCAAACTTTGGAAAGGAGTAGACGCAGTAGTGAAGCGCTGCATTACGACGAGGGCGTCGCAGGATTTGGGTGGGGGAGAATGTCACAAAGTGATTCTTAAGACGCTTGGAGTATGGAAGACACGCATGTTGGTTGGTAAAGAGCAGAGTTTGACTGGGAATGGTTCCAGGGAAGGGGCGTGCAGGACCACATGATGGTACCTCTTCAGAGTTCATACAGGTCAACTCGATTCAGTACGAAGTGCTTGTCGTTGGTCGTGGATTTGACTATGAAGAAGGGAGTTGGCCAACCCTGCACAAACTGGTCGAGAGCTGAAGCCGTTCCCCTGATGAAACCAAGGCAAGTCAAAACCAGTCAGCATGTATCCTTGAGAGGACAGGTCGTGGTGGCTGACCAGGGAGCTTGTGCGAGCCGAAGCAACGCCTTGGTGTCGCACGGGCCGTGATGCTGCGCCAAATCTCTAGGGCTGTGACATTTGGCTTCTTTCCTAGCCATTCGCACCAAGTAATTCATTCTGGAGCTTCTATTCGGATTCGGGTTCTACCTTCTTCGAGAATCACCTTAAATATAATTTTAGTATTAAAAAAAATACTCCTTCTGCCTCGTAAACATGTTCTGCTTTTCTTTTTGGATTGTTGTAAATAATTGTGCACTTTATATATATATATATATATATATATATATATATATATATACTTGAAATTTAAAATTTCAAAATTTTTTACTCCTCAAAAGCGATACTCCTAAAAACATAGCAAGTATAATTATCAGAAAAAATATAATAATTATATTTAATGATAATTATACTTAGTGTAAAAATAATAATAATTTGTTCATGCATGCGCAAAAAATCATTTCCGAATCATGAATTATTGAATTTTTATTTATTTATTTATTTAGTATAAACTTTTTGGATACCCTAATTACGGAATAGTTGCATGTATTACAAGCAATATTTTTAATGAAAAGTTGGACATACTCGAATACAATATTATATATACACACACATATACATACACGTATTTTTGTGATAAAATAGTGCATGGATATGATTTTCATCACATAATTTGTTGAACTTAATTAAGAAAGCTAAGTCTGTGAATATATTTATGTGTACGTATATATATGTGTGTGCAGTGTGGACACTTTAGCCATCACAAACAACATTTGTTTCACAGTAACAAGTCCAAATTCTCTACCATAGGCCTTTCGGTATCTCCAACCCATTTAAATTGAGTTTCAATGTCATTATTTTGGGTTGTAATAGCCCTTGCATCATTCATCAATTGTGTTGTGGTTTGGATTAATTTTAATGCGCCATTTTTCATTAATAGTGTTATAGTCTCAATTAATCATACTTCAACTTGGATTTAATTGTGTTAATTCTTGATTTAATTCTGTTACATGTGTACAACAAGCATGCTACAATATCATAAAATAATAATAATAATAATAACAACAACAGCGGCGGGGGTTCTCAAGATTATATATATTGATATTTATTTTTCTACAATTGCACTCCTCTCTCAGAGAAAATGACAATTATTATTTTTCTCAAATACTATAATTACCCATTCAAACTGGTCTTCCACTCTCTCCTCAATTGACAATTTGGGTTACTCCCGACCTCTCTCAACTCTTCTCTTGGTTTTTTCTCTACTCAACTTTTTATCAATTACATATTTTCTCTTTCCCTAGAGTTTTATAGTATGGAACAACTATCAAAATTTTATGAGTCATTCAACACATTCAATATTAATGGTAATGATATATATATATATATATATATATATATATATTATTTTCTCTTCATGTTGTATGCTTTATGTTTAATTATTATTTTTTTCTTCATCATGTGATTTTTAAATATTCATGGAATAAGTGGAGTGGCCTGATTGTCATGTTTGATAAATAATACTAGAAGCATTATCAAATTCAGGAAAAAGTAAAGATCAACTTGAGATTTGCCACCTCTAAATATCAATTTGAGACTGCCGCACCTGTTCATTTGTTTACTGTATTTGGCTCATACGCGGTGGCCAATTTTTACTTAATGGGTAATTTACACAGACATTTTTTATAATTTGTCATCATTACAGGCGATATTTTTTCTGTTTTGAAAATTATACGGATCTATCCTAATTTTAAAAATATTTTACACGGACCTCCCATATGTATAACTGACCGTCAAATGCACTAATGGACATGTTAAATTTACTGAAATGTCCTCAATTTTGTATAATAATTGACTAAAATACCCATATATATATGTGTGTGTATATTTATATATATATGTACATAAATGTCGCCGTCGCCGTGAAAGCTTTAAATATGGAGATAGTAGAATTATGGTATATAATCTAACAGAGTTAGTCAATTTTCTTTATTTGTACGTTCCTAGAATTGTACAATTTAATCCAACAAAATCTTTTGAGAACTGTGTCTTCACATAAGCTCTGAAGGAGAATTAGAAATTGCGTATTGTTCAAAAGCATTTTTCATGAAACAGCATCAATTTGGAACATGCACGATCAGCCGGAGTCTGCAAGGTCACAGATCATCGCCGTCGCCGTCGCCGGCTCACAGCCTCATCGTCTCGTAGATCCTCGCCATTGCCGTCGCCGGTTCACAGCGTCATCGTCTCGCAGATCCTCGCCGTCGCAGATCCTCACCCTCGCAAAAAAGAACGACTACTACGACAAGTCAAGCATGGTTGGTTTCATAAATGGTGAGGTTTCAGCACCAACTGAACGGATTACAGTACCAGATGATGATAATGATAGCTCCATGGACGGCATGAAGGAGATGGAGAACCCAGATTACAGGGAATGGAAAAAATTGGATAAGTTGTTATAAAGATGGATCGTAGGGACAATTGATGAACAACATCTTGTACTGATTGTTATTTCCAAACTGAATTTGGTAAGGTCACTTCACTTGGGCATATATATCACAGAGTCATATTGTATATATCACCAGGACTGGCGACAGGGATACTTATTTAATTCCCATGGGTTAAATGGCTAATTAATTAAATACATACATATAAACTAATCCATTTCGATAACATGACAGTCTTTGTGGACTATTTGACTGATAGA